CTGGACATAACCAGCAGAGCACGAGGACGACCGCCGGGGAGAGCGAGATGAACCAAGCACTACAGTGCTTCATGGCGGAGCACGGTGACAGGCGACAGACGAGAGGCGACTGACGGTTCCGACACGGAGCGGGTGACGAGGGGAGCGCCTGCGCCACACGGCTACACACCACCGTGCGACTAACAACCCCGCGCCCCGACAATCACTGGATACATACATAACTCGCATGGTTATAGAAATCCTTACCTACCTTAACACACTAATTATCAGATCCTCCGTTTCTTCTTTGAGTTCTCCGTGACCCGATAATTTACCGATCCCGGAGTTGGTTTAGGAACGGAGTTTACGCAGAATGTTCCCCAATACAATTTTGTTTATGTTTTATTCTTTTCCCATTTCATAGTAGGTATTGTAACAAACAGAGATTGTTATAATAAGTTAATTTGCACAATCGAATTTTAACGTCATATTGTTTACGATAATTGTTTCTAGTAATAAACAGGTTATTGCACTTTGGAATTATTATACATGGTGGAACGAAGTTAGTTTTACAAATTCGTATGTGTTAATTAATCTTTCCTTTCCAATTCATACTTTATTGGAATGGTTAAGTGCGTAATATATACAGAATGTTTATAAAAGCTGGTAGTATTGGTGACAAAATGGCACTAATTTAGATTTCCATACCATCCATCACATGTAGGAAATAACATACAAATTAAGATTTTTTTTAATATTTGTATTTGCTTCAATAAAATTGCCATAAGTGCAATAAAAATTGATTATTTAGAATTTATTGTAATTTTCAGAATCCTCATTAAATTTTCGAAAGTAATACTACAGAGTCATTGAAATGAAACATCTCTATAAGCTCTATAAGTTCGCTTAATTCTGCAATGGAAGTTTGAATTTGTGATTTTTGAGAAAAATGCAAAAACTTTTACACAAGTAGTTTTTCTACGCTAAACTGGACTAATAGAGAGTGTCAAATATTATAGCTTCTTTAGTAATAACCTTCAAAATAATGTATACAAACTTACTGTTTATTTGATTTATTGTTCTTAAATTTAAGAGTTTCTTTTGAAAAAACTCGAAACGAATTTCCTTTATAAAACATGTAGAGTATAAAATTGGGTAGAGTATAAATTAAAACTGGTTAGAGGCTAAGTTAGTCAGGTTTGCCCCATTTTACAATTAAAAATCGTTATATTTCAGCTATTTCTGATTCGATTCTTTTAAACTTGGTATCGTTTGATAGGGAATTAAAAATGCTAAATAAAAGTGTACTAAATTTTTTTTCATAAAATCAGCTATTTGTTAATAATTTATGTTTAAAACTTACAATGACCACCATTTTTATTTAAATTTTAGGTTGAATAAAGATGATTTTTTTCTGACGTGGGTCTCTTCTACCTTAACATACATAATCAAGTTCCATAACGATCGTCTAATAAAAAAATCCAAAAATAAAAATGTTTATGTAAAAGTGGCGGATATCTGGTTAACAAAGCGATTTTGGAAAAAAACTTTATTCTGGATTGTCACTTTATTTTTACCCAAGGAATCACTACGTAAAATGTCCCCACCTTTTATGAACCACCTGTATATTACGCACTTCCCCATTTCAATAAAATATGAACTGGAAAGGAAAGTATTATGTCGACCCCCTGAAGCTAAATAACTGTTTCAATACAGTCCCCTTCCCATAGAATTCCACTATAGGTGTGTCAAATGAAGAGGGATCACTTACTGTTTGCAACAAACTATTGGTGTTAGGGGATTTTTTTCATTTTTACTCCTATCTTTATCCTTTAGATCCTCTCATGTGCTACATTGTCCGTATTATTATAATATGACTATATGGTCTGAAGTATTAAAACCAATAAAGAGAAAACACATTTCGTCATTTGACAGTTGAAAAACTATTCCATTTATTTACAGTAGTAATTAAAATTAACCTACATGACTTCTGTTTTTACAGTAAAATATTTTAGTTTTTCATGTTAGCTTACCGGCACTTAATAAGTTGAAAATATTTTCCAGCGTTTTTCAACCAACCCACAAATAATTTTTTTAACCCGATTCTGTTGTTGGTTGTTTTTCCTCACAGATACTCAAATCTAATGAAAGTGGTACCATTTTTATTTTGACTAGTCGAACCGTGCGAAGAATCACACTAAATCCTTCTCAAATCCGACTTATTGAAGTACAAAACATACTGTACTTCATACTGCGTAGTAAGTTGTGCATCGTTGATTTTAGGAATAGATATGGGTTTAGACATAGATAAAACATACAAATAACCCACTTTAGATGAATAAAATTTTCAAAGTACAATTTTAAGTTATTTACCTTTTTACATATTTACAGGACCTAATTGAACACTATATTGGAAGTGATAATACGGCCATATACGATTTTTGTTTTGACGCCTTGTTTTTACACATAGTTTTCACTGAAACACCGCACCCTTGACAAAGCCAAAAAAACAGTCTGTCTATATGAATTTATTTAGGTCATAAGGGGAGGGGGTAACTTTAAAGGTAAATTCCTTCTTAGTCAGTGTTTGAAAGGATTACGGTCTTTTTGCGTAGTATGACAGTTTGACCGAAGTCAGCCAACTTCGCTTTCATAGTGTAGGTGTCCAAGTGAGCCACAACCAATCTTTGAAAATGCGTAGGTTTTTCATCAACATGATAAAAAGAGTTCTTTTTAGCGTGGGTTTATGAGGTAACTAACCTAAAGGGCTTAAATGAGTTACAAATTCGACACAACATTCATTGAAACCTGTAGTAAATAAAAGATAAGAGAAGGTGTTTAAAGATGGAATTCTTAAATACATATTATAGAATACGTATATCAAAATTAAGGCTATATTGTAAATAAAGAAATATAAAACGTAAAGAATCCATGCAGTACTTACTTTTGAGTTGTTCTTGTTTAGACTTCTTAAAGTGAATAATCTGTTTTCATCTCCGGGGTTGTTTATCGTAAAAAGCACAGACTACTAAATTTGTATGTTTTTGACTTATTGCCACTCAGATAAAATACTGAGTAAGGGATATTTTTGTTAAGCTTTGTACAACTAAATCTAGACTTCTACTGGACCGATTTTGTTGATTATTGGGTCATTGGAAAGCCTAATTCATGTTCATTATATATCTACAACTTCACGTAAAATATTTATTTTTATCACATATAAAACCCCACCTAATAGAGATAATGCTACATGTAAGGTTATTTTATTAAAGTAAATTCAACGGGGAGTTCAAAGAAAAAACAGTTATGCTACATCAAAAGATATAGGTGATTTAGTAAAACACTACACTTTGAACCTGGTGTTTGGGGGGAGAGAGGTTTAAGGGTAGCAAGGGGTGGGGATTCGGGGAATTTTCAGAAAACACCCTTCCTATCTCATACACTATCACCATGAAAATAATCAGCTTTACATCTTTCATGTCTTTGTTGGCCTTTAACTTAAGTTACTGGGCTATTAGGCAGTGGCTATTCGCACGTCAGACGTGAGCCGCTACCGCGCACGTCTGTTCCAAATGATGTCACTCACATTACTGTACGCTCCTAATCCATTTACAGTACTTTTATAACTGTCTGGGAACAAGTTGCACACAAAGAAAACCTAGTATTAGGAACGGTAGTACCTCTAACCTCATTAGCCTAATGGATGGAATCAACTACAACTTCAAGTTTTTCTGCCCGTAATATTAATTATGAAATGAAACTGTTCTTAACTAACCTTGCCAAACCAAACTTGCTGTAACATTTCAAAATTCCGTTTGATAGCAGAAATGGCCTTTTACGCTCCATCTACTGTTAAGTAGAACGTCCAATCCTTAACTGAATATGCAGAAGCTCGCCTTTTTTGAAATAAATTCTTTTAAACGCTTCGAAATAGCAAACAATTTAATTAACCTCCATCTTCACTGAAATTTAATGTGAGTAATTCAAATTGAAAATGACTTCTAGAAAAAGTAACTGTTCCCTTTACATTATTTTGCAATACTGGAACTGGGACTGGAACGGGAATGGGTTGTGACGTCGTTTTGACGTGCACAGTCACTTCGTTTAAATTACTTGCAGGATGATATAATAGATCGTTTTTTACGAAAAACTACTGAAAAATGAGTGATCTGTATACTTCCCTGATGTAGTAGGCAAAAGGAGCTTTAAAATGACACCTCATTTATTAAAATTGGTTAAGAATTAAGGAAGTTATAGTGTACCGGCAAAAAAAGTACTTTGGAACTTTTGTTCTGTGAAAAGTACTTTTGTCATTAAAGAAGTAGGTCACCAATGTTATAATGCACTTGATGCAGTTGCCTTATAATTCTCTCAATATATTCTGCATTTTAGAAATTATAATATACATATATATTATACATTATATATATATATATATATATATATATATTATAACATACATATATGTAATTTTTTTTGTGGTTATATGTTTTGAACAATTTTAAAGATGTAGCTTAATTAGTTGTGATTCTATCGAGTTATTTTTAAGGCAGTTACTTGATTTTGATTAACATAACTAACCAAAAACATTCAACAATAATTACTTAATGAAGCAATAAATAATGGGGGGCAATTTTATATTATTTTAATGGTAGTACATATTCTACAATTGAATGAAGCTAAGTTAAAATTGCGGCTTGTCCATGTAGGCTATTTTTCCTGCTTTTTCATACTACCAGGCCCACTTTTATAAACGGGCAGACTAGGCATTTCGGGCAGAGGTTTGGGGGCGCCCACCGGGTGCCCCCTCCCACCCGCACTAGGAAAAAAGGGGGCGCTGCTTTTGGGTTTGCGCAGGGCTCCACTGACCCTTAACGCGGCCCTGCTGGATACAATGTATTATATATAATCATTTATTGATTGTATATTTTCAACAAGTTCAATTTATAATACTGTCTATTTACGAAAACTGAAATAAACATTCAACAAAATAGGACAGGTAAAACAAATGCAACACGAGATTTAAATATAACATTTATATTTTTAAAAGTATAAAACTATAACTAGTGCAACTATATTACATTCAAGAAAAGAGTCTGTGTACAAAAAGTGATACATTTGAAAATGTATTAAGTATGCTTGGGCTTGGATATAATATTGGAGTTTCATTCAACATCACAAACCAACATAAGTTACTACAGGCACAAGTTAGTGTTTACCAGTGTGCATTTAAATTTAGTGACATTTATATTAAATGTTAATATTTAATTTATAAATACATGGATTATAAAATTTATCAAATATATTTAAATAAATGGGATTAGCAATCTGACACATACTTTCTCCCATTGGCTTGTCAACAACCTTTATCATGGGTAAGCGGTGGGAGTAAAACTATGATATTTTAAAGAGAAAATCACAAAAGGTGCGATAATTTTTTAGCAGTAATAATTGTTTACCCGCAATGGGGGGTTGCTCTATTTTGTTTGAAATTATAAGGACTATAATTAATTAATTAAATTATTTGAATCAAAACCAGTTTTTTTCCTAAAATCAGATTTTTGTTATTTTATGGGGTTTTTAATGAGAAAATAACATAAGTTACAATAACTTTTGAACCATAATTTTTACAGAAATGTGTTTTGTACCATTTTGTTAAGAATTTAAAGGACAATAGCACAGTACATAAAAATTGTTCTGGCCATTTTTTGAGAAGTTCCGATTTTTCCGTTATTTTATGGGAAAATTACCATTAAAAATCAAAATGTAAAAAAATGAAAAAAACACCTGGAGATACCATGGATTAGTGCAAACATACCACATTTCATCAATATCGGACAACAGGGGTGGTCTGTAGCTCTGTACACATCCACACAATACAGACAGACACACACAGACATCACTTCGAAAACCACTTTTTTGGGTTCAGGAGGACCCAAAACTGATATATCCACTCAAAACTCAAACTCGAAAATTTTTACGAAAACAATACTTTCTCCATATCCGAGATTTGTATAGGGGGAGAAAGTAAAAAGCAAAATGTAACCAAAATATGATTTTTTTAATTAAATTTTTTTTTTCACTAATATCAGAGATTAAATGTACTTCATTAAGCAACATGATATAGAATCTGAATAGAAAACACCCTTGGATTTACCCCCTTGGTATTTTACTATCCTTGGAGTTTCTAGTAGTAGAGCCAGAGTGTGTTGATGTGTTCTCTGCAATTTATATATTTTATACTAAAACCATCCCTACCAAAATAACAACCTATTTGTAAACTAACGCTGGTCCTGCTCTTATAACCAAGCAGTAAAGTGCACCCGTAATATTTACTCTTGAGAGAAATGTTTGGTGAACATCAACATACTGAGTGTGTTACACCAAAACAATGTCCGATTATAATAGGATGATATGCCTACTATAGCAGTAGCCAAAGATAATCAGACAGCAACTGCAACAAGTTCCATACACTACCTACATAGTAAAATCAAAGATTACACATGGTACGCAATTTACATAGCATGTGTAATCTTTGGTAAAATAAACATTCAGTACTTTTAAACCTGTTGATTTTTTCATAAATCTAACATTTACTTATATTGAAGATATTTTGCCAGGTTGAAGAAAAGCTCTTGTATCCAATGAAGGTTGTATACAAAGTAGAGGTTAAATTATGTTATTTAAAAAAAGAATGGTTAAATACAAAAGGAAGCAAAAGCAGCAGAATCTTGAACATAATGACTGTTAAAGGGATGATGATACTTATATGTTCTGAAGATTGACTCATGTTGAAAGGTTGACGTTTAAACACAAAACAATAGTTACTGCCATGTTCTAAAGGTTTTGGTTTTTAATGAGTTGTAATGATGGATAGTAAATTTATTTTAATGAAAATGTGAAAGTTTGTATGGAAAAAGTTCTATATACTCAACATTGGAGCAATGTTTATCACTTGATATCTATTAAATTAAATGTATAAAAGGATGCAAAATTAAAATATAATTACTTAACACATAACGGAATGAAAATATTTATGACACATTACAAATGTTGGAAACAAAATACTTTAAATTTACATAAAAAGACAAAAAAATATACCCCTAAGTTAAAAATTTCCTAAATTTTCCCATCTATAATTTATTATAAACCCCAAAAACATGAATGTTTAGAAGAAATATTGAACACAATACATTATTTAATCACTTATGAACACATGCAGTTATTGCGAGCTACCATGATGAAAATTAAAATAATGTGTAGGACTGTCGTATAAATATAACATTATTACTACTCTTATTATTACTACAATGGTAACCTTATTTATAACAAGTTTTAATTGTTGGCACTTAAATTACTGAAAAACATGAGGAATGAAAAAGGAAGTTAACTCTGTTCATTAACAGAAAACAGTCATAAGTAATGATTAGTTGATCACAGGTAACAATATCATGATTTATCATCCAAATCATAAAGTACACGATTAATATAAAACAAAATCAAACATTGTTCCTGAGCTAGGAGTAATTTTAAGTAGAAGGGATATTTAGAGCAGGATTTTTGAAGCTGAGAGGCTTGAACTAAAATAAAACACCTTCATATTATGTGTTACAGTTCCAGCCTTCAACATTTCGTTATCCTCCCCATCTATACACAATGTGTGCTTAACACAACAATATGTTGTAACAAGATATGCAGCACCAGTATTACACTTTTCTTTTTAAATGGTTTGATACGATTGCGTCCCCTCAAATCACCAGAGTCAATCGTAAAAAAAAACTGGTAGAGTTTGTGTTTAGTAGATTTGGGGGGTGGGAATAGAAAAGCAATTTCAGTAACACCGTGTGCTTTAGTACAGAATGCGGGGATTAGTTTTTCATTGAAAATGCAATTGGTCGCCTCACCTGTCACATCTACCAACACCAGTTCTACATATTGTTCTTCTTTGAGTGATCACACATCAATGAGGGATCTTTTATCTGATATATTTAGTCAAAACAAACTACACTGATGGATCCATGGTGTACTAAGCTTTGTATAGGGAAAGAAGATGAAAAGTGCTGGTGGAGTTAGAAGAGGGTGGATCATCATAGCTACTCATCCGCCTAGATGCTAACTGTTGTAGGCTACACCTAGGCGTGACAAACCAAGATCTACCCATGTAATTTGCACTCAGAAATATCCTCTGGTACAACTGGAGGTACACACTACTTTCCTCTTCCTGTCTCATTTGATTGCATGTTAAATCTTGAACATAATCTTTTGGTACCGTGCTGTGCTACAGTATGCGATTTCTTCTAAGTTAGTAGTTTTAATGATAATCAGAGATCATTTACTTCATGGTCCTCTCAGCATTTCAAGTAGGAGCTAAATATTTAAACTAAACTCAGTTTATTATAACTTACTTGATTTTTAGTTAGCCTAACTATAAATACAACTTGGTGTTAGGAAAATACTCAAAATGTCAAGACGTTATCCTGTTATCTTAACCTCTTGTTAAATTTTAGTTTACAAATAAAAAAATTCTTTTGTGAGTTTTATAATAACAGAATGCAGCTACCATTATGTTATATCACAAACAAATTAAACATCTTTGCACTCAGTACCAAACAAGTAATCTGTTAAAGTCCAAAGAAAAGCTCATTACTTGTTAAAAACATTAAACTGAAATTAAAGCCACATACAAATTAGTCGTGTATTACACAAAATAAATGTTAATTTGCTTGTTTCTTCATAACCCAAAATAATACATATTTTCTTTAAACACAATGGTTGGCAGATTATGTTGTATGTGTCAGACAGAGGTCGACGTGGAAGGTTGAGGTGTGACAGACAAAAGACAGACACTGACTATCAGAGGATAGTCAAAGTCTGGACACAGATCCATCACCTTGACCTCATGGTTGCGGACCAACATAACAGAGATAACACCTGATGACTGGCTCAGCTTTGTCTGTCTCTGCTTGTCCAGGGTTGCCAGAGTCACCCTACACAACAACAGTTAATTATATCAGAGGAAAATTAGTGGAAAATATGAGGGAGTTAATATGTGAATACAGTAAACCCCCTCTTAACCGACCCTAATGGGACCGGACCTCGGTCGAATAACTCAAAAGGTTGGTTAAAACGGGCAATCCCTAAAATCATAACATAATGAAGTGCTATTCATTTGGAATTATGTAATCATTATTTTGAAGTCATACTTGCATTATTTATAAAATAAACTACTCTTATCTCCTTTTTTGTATTGATAGAAAAGACACAAATAAGCACAAAACACGGTTAATCCAAATAGGCCTACCTTCAGTGGAATATAAATTATACTACTAGGCAAGAGTCAATAAAAATTCATATTTTAATAACTTTAGTACTGTAATGTGTTAATTGATGCTTTCCAAATCCATCGTAATACAGTACAGAACCTTTTGTCAAAATTCAAGATACAAGCAACCATTTTGTTACAAGACAGGATGTTTATTTATAGCCTCTCACTGGAGGCTCGAGGCACAAAAACTATCTTGACCTTGGAGTTGTTAACCCCCCTTCCCTGCTCTCCATACAATTGGGTTGCGTTGCTTGTTTACTCCAGCGATAAGATAATCAGTTAGTTCTCAAAATCGTAACGTACTTTACGATGTTAAAAATTTTCCGCAAAGATAACAAACTGACAATATGCTATATTTTTTGTTATCAATACAAAATAACTTATTCTTAGTCATATCCTGTGGAGATAAGCGTATGGTTCAGTTCTCATCGCCCAGCGTGGGAGCGGAAATGCAGAGATTCCTACAAAGCGGCAGGTAAACCGAGCTGCTTTCAAAGCAAGGTCGGTTAAAACAAACTGTATTATTTTACAACCGAAGGCGGATAATCCGATTATCGGTTAATACGAGGTCGGTTAAGAGGGGGTCTACTGTATTGAGTCTGATTCAGTAGAATTCCACTACTCCAAAGTAACTGGGACCAAGCCCTGTTCTGATCATTGGGAATTCAGAATAAACCAATTTCTGTAGTAGTTGTTCATTGCGGTCGTGGATGATGTACACGGTTTGGCTGTGATCACAGGATACAATAATGATCACTCAATTAGTACTTTGCCAATATTGGCAAAAGGAAACACTAATTAATAACTCTGAACCCACCTAAAAATATCAAATCAATACCACCTGCCCCAATTCTCTTGCCCTGTACCCAACGGATGCAAGAGAAATTTATAAAATTATAATGAATTTAAAAAAATCAAATTCTTGTTGATATGATGGTGTAAGTCACAAAATTGTACGTCACCATGCAAATTACATATGTCAACCTCTTGCTGATAAAATAAATGTCTCTTTACTGCAGGGCATATTTCCCAGTGTTCTAAAGCAAACAATAATCCGCCCAGTTTTTAAAACTGGCAATTCTAACTTTCCTGAAAATTGGCGTCCGATCGCGAACATGTCTACCTTTTCAAAAATATACAACCATGTTTTTGCTCAAAGGCTTCTTGATTTTTTATTAAAAAAACAACCTTGTATGTAAAGAACAATTTGGATTTGTAAAGGGGAAAGGTACGACTGATGCCACCATTGACTTAATCACCAAAATAATCAGTGCTGTAAATAATAAAAACAAAGCTATCGGGGTATTTTTGGATTTTCAGAAGGCATTTGATTGCTTGGACCTCAGTATAATTTTTGAGAGGCTTTATAATCTGTGAATCCGTGGCCTGCTCCTTGACTGGATAAAGTCATATCTCCTACAAAGAATTTAAAGTGTAAAGTGTTAACGATTGCATAAATTCAAATAAGCTAGAAGTGAATTTCGGAATTCCCCAGGGCTCAGTTTTGGGGCCTAATTTGTACATTTTATATACAAATAGTATAACTAAGAATCACCATAACTATGTACGCTGACGATTAAGCCCTCTTGTTTGAAAGTAAATCATTAGATAACCTAGAAATTGATAGCTTTGTATAACTTGCAAACCTTCATCAGTACTTTAATAGCAATAATTTACACGTTAATCCAAGCAAATCAAGCTGTATACATTTTTCAAAAGCCAATCATTCTGAGGCCAGCCCAGTAATGTTTATGAACGAATTTAAGTTACCCTTAGACACATAAGTGAAATATCTAGGATTGATAACACATTTTCTTGGACACCTCATGTTGATGCGCTGTGTTCCAAGCTATCATCTCAATTATTTTTAATGATTAGATTCGCGAAATATCAAAATTTATTACTTACCCAATTAATTTATTTTTCACTCATAGAGTCAAGATTAAGTAAGGTACAGAATTATTCTCTCAAGCAATTTATTGATTGTCTGCGACACAATCAAGTTTTTTTTGCATTTTTAGATTGCAAAAAAGAGCCGTCCCTATTATGGCAGGTGTGTACAGAAGAACACCTTGCCGATTTTTTTTTTAAACCTTTTGAAATTATAACGTTACCTTTGATATGTATTATTGAGATTCTATTATATTATAAATTTAAATCAACAACAGTAGCAACCAGTGCAAATATTCTCAATTATAATACCAGGCAAAGACACCATCATAGACAAACCTCTCATAGATTGGAATTAGCTGCATCATTACCTCAAAATCTCAGGCCAAAACTGCTTAACAAATTACCAGCCAATCTACAATCCTTAACATCGGAAGCGAAATTCAAAATTAAGTTAAAAATACCCCCGCCGCAGCAAACCTGACGCCTAAGCGAATTTCCATTTGGCTGAATTGATTTTAAATTGATCTATTTATTTAAATAACATTAGGTTTAACAAGTACCTAGGTTTGCTGCTACAAGGAAACTAATAAAGTGTGTGTTTTAAGTAAAATAATTATTGCTTAGTATAAAATGAATATATTTGCCAAGTTTGATCAAAAGATATCCATAAACAAGCAAACTACAACATTTTACAATATTCTCCATAAGAATAACATGGGAATTTTAAATTTACCATTTTTTTAGTTTTCTCCGTAACCAATAACCGTACAAAAATACTTTGATATACTGAATTGTTTGTTTTTTTAAGCTCTTTAAGAAGGTTTAGAGAAAAATTGGGAAATTTTGTGTTTTGAGGGTCAAAAGTGAGAAAAACCAATTTTTACCCCATAAAACCCCCCATAAAACCCTGTTCCCATGGTCCGATCATGCTGGATCGCGAACTCATTCAAGTTTATCTCGCCTTACACCTTCAAACCAAATTTCATCAAAATCGGATAAAAATTACTCAAGTTATCGTGTTCACGGACACATATATATATATATATATATATACATATATAAAAATTTGAACGAGTGGTGTTTTTGGCCTCTGGGGACATCAAAATGAAAAAGTAAATCGGTCCCGGGCCTAAGTCTTACCATGAGACCTACGGTAATAGCTACTTCCCTATAGGGAAATTCGCTAAAAAAGACTGCGCATGTTACTCTGTTGCAGAATTTTTTGAACAGCCCAATTTATATATAAAAAAAAGGTTAACACGTTCGCTACTGAGCGTCGCATATATGCGACGCCGCGGTCATTGCCACAGACCGAGGTATACATTTGAATCTTACACATAGACCGGCTGTCACTTGGATAACAGTACACACAGACCACGGGCGAAAACCTGTAAAACAGTGATAATTTACATTGTAATACGCTACAATCGTGTTTGTAAATAAATTATTCTTGTTTCTTTGTATTTTTTATAACCTTTTGTAATGTCGCATATTTGCGACGCCCGGTCTACAGCGAAGACAATAGTGAAAATTATTACAGTTTTCTTAAAATAGACTAAACGTCGCATATATGCGACAGTTCATTTTTTTGTGTTTTAAGGTAAAAGTTAGTAAAAAATAAACAGAATATTCAAGAACAGTTTATAACTGAACAAATATAAAAGCTACATAGGATAATGCAGCATACATACTGCATACATACATACAGTGATGCAGAAAAGTAAAGACCAGTTTTTCCAACTATTATATGACGTCACCAATCATCATATCCATAGACCAAGCGACGCAGTTGTGCGTCAGACATCTCTGTAGACCACTGCAGGGAATTCAGTGCCTTCAAATAGACCACTACAAAGATATAAGCATTTTAATAACATTAGAACCCCGACGCAAATATGCGTCGGCAGTCTATTTTAATGTGACTAGCCGTCGCATATATGCGACAGCAGTCTATGGGTGGAAACCGGCCGTCGCATATGTGCGTCGCTGGTCCATGTGAATGGAAAATTTCGTACTATTGCAGTAGCGAACGTGTTAAGCTAAGTCCACCTGCTCTGTATTAAGGAACGCGGCAGCGTTCCGCCCCGCCAAGTCCCCCAGCGGTACACAGCTGCTGCAGTGTATATATACATGACGTGACAAAGTGGTTTTTTTACTCGTCTATAGCTCTGAAGAAACAAAAGCTATTAAAATAATTATTCATCTACTGGATAGGGGCACTCATTCTCAACAAAATGAAAAAAAGAATTTAAAAAACGGTTGTGTTTGAGCCAGAAAAACTAGTTTGAAAATTCACAAATTTTCCATGTTCTCCTTCTTCTCCTTGAATGTTGACGGACCTACAGCCCAAACCACTGGCTCAATTTTAATGTTTTTTATGTTGTTTGAAAGCCCTTAACGTGTAGATGTGCCTTTTGAGGGTCTCAAGTCGGTGCGTTGACCCATAAACCCTTGGCAAGCCCTCAAAATACGATTTTGGCCCATTTAAATAACATGGGATTAAAATAAAAACAAAAGAAGGACCAGCTGCGATTAAATCTCATTTAATTTCAATGTTAGAGAAATTCATAGGAACAGCTGAAAATTATTTTAAAACTTTTATAAAGTATTTTTTCAGGTATACCCACGGTATACCGAATGATTTGAACTACCTACTATATAAAATTACTTAGAGCAGTGATATTCCCCGATACTCTCCATTGAAAAATGCAGTGTACCGATGGTACACTGGTACAGCAGCTCGTCGTTTTTAACAGTTTAATACTACTTATTAAAACATATGAAACCTAGGAACTTGAAACTTAGTACTAGTACTAAGGTTTGTTTTATGTTTTGTTACACTAAAACAAATAAAACAATCGGGAAAATCACTCTACGTATGTTAAACAAGCAATTAAAAAGTGATATGTAAATTTAGGATGGATGAGTTTTTCAAATATTTGTTTTGTTTATGCTATTTCTAACAAACTTAATCTGTTTGATTACATTTTTACTTCTCTAATAAGGGCTAAATTTACACTAGTCTTTAGATGTACGGGTTTAATTATCAGAACACTTATGTAACACCAACGCATTTCATGTTGTTCAAGATGACCATTGATGAAATTTGAAACTGAGTTTAAGCCCAGGGGGTTTGTTAAATAGTAATTTTGGTACGTGTGTCAAAAAGTTTTTAATCTGTTTAAAGCAGATTAGACCAAAAATGTAGAATTTAGTTCTACACAAACAATATTATTAAAATTAAATGAGATGTAGTTGTGCCGTGGTCTATATATCAGAGAAAGGAGGATTTTTATTTTAACTGTTAATTTCCTACAAAAATAAATAAAATCTAACAAAAAACCACTAAGTGGTAACACTTTCCCCGCCAAGTCAGCAATCCAAAAAAGATAATAAATCATTACCTTTTCCGCCAAGAAAAACAATCTAATGTATGTAAGTTTGGCAACTTGGCGGCAGACTTTTGCTCGATCACTTTAAAAAAAATACCATAAAACTAGTTTCATTGAGCAAGTATCTCTCCCATTAATACATTGCTAGGTGAGAGCTTATTTTACAAAATTTGGCCTTATTTGTGCCACATTTCATAAACTCATAATAGTGATGGTTTTATATTTACTGATTACCTCGAAATTATTATACTTAGTTGGACTAATTAATTAGAGAAGTTGATTTGTGAAATTATCCACGAGCGTAACTTCAATGAAAAAAACCAAGCAAAAGTCTGCCGCCAAGTTGCCAAACTTACATACATAACATGGTTTTTCTTGGCGGAAAAAGTAATGATTTATTATCTTTTTTGGATTGCTGACTTGGCGGGGAAAGTGTTACCACTTAGTGGTTTTTTGTTAGATTAATTACTTTTACAGTATGTGTTATCAGTGTTATAGTACCAGTTTTGTACTTTCATTAGCATTATTTTATTGTTTATATTTAGAAGTATTTAAAGTTGACGTTTGTAATACAATGTATATTGTCTGACTACAATAAAAGATTTTGATTTTGATTTGATTTTGATGTCTCTGTGTCTTCGGAAGATGTTTAAGATTTCCCTGTAACCTCGGAAGACTTTTGTTATTTTCGAGTGGAGTTTTTGTTTTTGCAGTAGCAGACAGCACTGTGTGATCAAAATTTTACCACAATTGTTGGTAATGTTCACAATTTTGACGCGATCGTGTGAGACAATAATGATGTCTCTGATACAGCAGAAGATGTACGATTTCGGCCATTACTATGAAAGAAATTCTTGATTCTATTCTATGTTTAGTTTTTTACTGAGCCTTAAAAAATAATAATAGTTTTCCAACTTTAGTTTGAAATATGGGTTCTGGAATAGCTGGGCCCTCCTGTAGTAATGAAATGAAATGTCAATGTCTCAGAAGAGCTATTCTCAATTCGACACTCAATTTGTTTATTTACTTGAACAGTAGCAATCAGAACAGATGTTTCGTACCTTAGCATGACATTGCGTATGCCATTGTAGCTGAGTGGAGCATCATCACTGGCTCGACGCACTGTCAACATGTTGTTAAAGGTTGACCAGACGAGGTCCAGCCCAAAGTTGAACACCTTCCACTTCCACGTGTGATTGTCCTTGCTCTCCAACACACGGCCACACCGAACACAAGATGAAAAAAATTTCTCCATCCCAATCCGCTCTTTCTCGGGTCTAAAACAATCAGGGTTTGCAAATTCATGTGTATTCTATATTGTCTTTAGTACTTTGTTTTCTTTAGGAACAAATTTCATTAAATAATATTATTAAAGATTTCCTAATGGTGACATCTAACACCGCATTTTTAAGGGTGGATGGTAGGGTGTTAAAAAGTTTGATGCAATCAAAATAAGTTTGTTTGAAAAAAGTTGTGTTATGTTAAGTAGTTGCCTAACATTGGGGATTACAGAAATTATATATTGAAGAGTTATTTGTTTCGAAAAGATGTTTGTTTTTCCAAAAAGGAAAGACGTTCAAAAATATAAATATACGAAAAGTTATAAGATTGTTACAGAAGACACCTCTACATGCTTTCAGGCTTCACATTCTAAATACTAGTGTCAGTCCCTTGGTCTGTCGAGTAAAAACCATCTTCTGAATCTTTAAGACGATTCAGCATCCCACATTGGGACACACAGACTGCTACAAACTTTGTCCAAATGCTTAGAATAATCAAGTCTAGAGCCAATGATTAAATCAAGAAGATTTTTTTGATGACATGACTCAATTTCCTTGTCACCATGAAAAATGTTAGATATTCAGCGATCACATAAGACCAATAGATGGATCACTGGGGTTGACCGATGAAGCCAACTTTTGCATGCTGCGACAGAAGTAAAAATTATGTTGTTTTGGGTTTAAAGTTCATCAGTCACATAATTATTTTATTATGTCACTGGAGTCGATATCTTTCAATTTTGATTGCATAAACATTGTATTAATACCTGTATTTTTTTGTAACCTTAACCTTTGTAAACAGCTAAGTAAAAAAGTTTGGGTTTTGGTTTTAAGATTCAAAATTTCTGGTTTTTGTTGAAGCAATTTCAATAAGTCTGTGTATAATGTCATATTAATTATGAAACATATGACAATATTTACTATGTGTAATTGTTCAGTTTTTATTAGTTGTGTTCCAAGTTCTGTCTTTTATTAAGATACAAGCTGCTATACCCGTGCTTTGCAACGGGAAGAAAATGTAACCTATTAAAGTGGTGCTGATGTGTGTTTTAAAATACATGATGTGTGATCGCGGTAAAATCATGACCATTTCCACCGGTTGTGTAGACATTATCGTTGTCTTCCGCGATTGCGGCAAAATTCTGATCATCTCCCACAGCCGTGTTGACATTATCATAGTTTTCCACGGTCATGGAAATTCATTGTCGTCATGTCCGATCACAGCAATAGCGGTTTCTGATCGTGCGATCCACGCAAACTAGTTCTGTGCATTTAAAGTGTTTTTATTGATGACATTCCAGTAATCCAGCAGTATCATAGTCCTATATTTGCCAGATTACTGAGAGTCTACTGTACTTAATTAGCCTTTAGCGAGTTGGCTTTGGAGACTGGCCAATAACTGGTCAAGCCTTGTGTATTCAGTGGATCAAGCATGCATCAATCTGGTCTAACATTAGTGACTATTAGCTGCTGTGGGAACGGGTATAGAGCTTCTGTCGTCTACTAAATTAAATTCCACTTCACCATGCAATATGGAGCATCCCTAGACCTGTATTAGTCATGTAGGCCTATTTCAAATAGAAGCCTCAGCAAAACTAGTAACAGACTAAAGAAACCTGCAAACGGTTTTGTTGGGACAACTGTTAGTACGAGGAATCGATTCGGACCAGAAATAATTTTCCAACCAAACAGGTTGAGCCAAGCTGAGCTTTATTTATTTAATCACAGAAGTGTCTGTGAATATGCCCCATCAAAAATTAATGATTTAATTGTCATATAAAAATGTCATGACCTTAATAATAATAATTTCATATAATTTCATGGTCTTCTCATGATAGTGGGAAATAAATTATGATGATATTGCCGTGACCATAAGAGATGTTCACAATTTTGATGTGACTGTGGAAGATATTCACGATTTTGCCATAACCTCAGAAGACATGATTCATGATTTGGCAGTGTCTGAAGATGATGTTCACAAATTCGCCGTCACCGCTGAAGATATTCTTGTTTTGCCGTGACCACATAAGACGTTCTTGACTTTTCCATGTACAATATTATATTATGTTTATCCGATTGAAGTACTATAAGTAGTATTTTTAAAATCTGGAACGCAGCCTTCTACATGATGTTACCAGTAATGGTAATAACAAGACAGTCTCACATACCACCTATACTATACAGTGAACATGGCACTGAGTACAGCGCTATCTAGTACTACTAGGAAGTGATATCCACTTACCCTCTGTCCTTGCCACTGTCCAAGCATAGCAGACTGGCCCACTGGTCTGTCAGTACAGGGTAGAGCCAGACCTCAGGCAGTATCCTGTCTGTTGTCAGTGTCCGCAGGTCCTGTACTTGGGTGATCAGTGAGCCAATGTGTAGACCTTGGAACACTCTCAGGTAGTCCTTGCCTTCAGGACTCACCAGGAAGGCTGATTTATCTGTCAACAACAAATCACTCTTATCAATGATTGTTTTTCTAGACATCTGCTAAGCATAATACAATTATTCTCGGTTTTATATATATTATCAGGATCCTATAGGGATAGTGCTAAACATAGTTACAAAAGAAAAGTATACAGCTTCATACAATACAGTAGAGTTTGAAAAATATCTGTAAATTTTTTAAACATATCGTGGTAAAAAAAGTTGTTGAGTATTGGTTTTAGCAACAATTTATGTCTATTATTTAAGACTGCAACACACTTGACAAATAAATAAATGTGAAGGTTGTCCGTATGTTAAAGACTCCAACAAGCTGCCAATGACTAAAAAGCTAGTCAAAATCTAAAACCAACATCAAGTTCCTTCCTTCATCCACTACTTTTCTATCTAGTTTCCACCCAATGGGACTACTAGTATTGCCATAGTGAAGAGTATTTGAAAATGTCGAGAAAGAAAATTCACACCCCTGTCAAGTATGTAGGCTATGGCATTCTGTGATTAGGTTTGTGTAGGAAGGGGCTCAATCGGTTTTGATTAGGCTACGGTTTCCAGTTAACAGATGTGTATGCAAAAAGTTGTTTTGTATTAGAATATGTGAATGAGAGGTTTATGGAGTTTAAATAAAACCATTGTCATTTGGACAATGGGACCAACAGTTGTTGTTTATAAGTTACGATTGAATTTGAGGAAACTTTGCTTGGTAATCATTGTATTTCAGACCTTCAGGGCTGACCGCATAACTTAATAATCTTATAGAGATGACCTATATTTGTACAACATGAGACGTCCCTATTAGTTCAACAAACTCCCTCATTGAGTCACATAGCATTCTGCATGCAAAATTCCCCTAAAATTGGCCACTGCTTTAAAAGAGACTGAAGAACAATAACAGTCGGCCTATACCATGGAAAGCAACATGCAATCATGTTTCAGACCAACTCAAAATTCCTGCCTAACCTTTGTGCACATTTTGTATGTCCAAACACTTCATTCACGTCCATCAACTGGTGAACGGGTTCAATAGCAATTAAATAAATAAATAAGGTCTTTATTCATGAGCAAATTTCAGTAACAATACTGTTTTACAAATTGACTCAAATGATACAATTGACAACAGTGATAACAGAAATATAATCATAGAACACGGTTTTTACTTGGGGGAGTGTCAATTTTCTTTCTTGGCCATTGTAAATACTATGACAGAACTTATTGTCCCATAGGGGGAGGGACACGACGTTGGTCTCAGATTTTAACTACCTGGCTTGGCTGCCCCTGGAGCTGAATGGAGACCTTCATTTATAGACGACCCTCGTATATTGTTTATCTATTCGACTTGATAGCCAACCAAAGACTAAGATGGTTTTTGTGAAAGAAACTGCTATGGAGCAGATACTACCAAATGCTCTTTAATTTACCTTGCCCTTGTATGCGTATAAGGAGTACAATATAGAAGAACACTCACAACTACCCTTCAAATCTGAAGGTAGCTTTTGGTTACTAACCAAGCTGGAATTTTTCATTGGGGTATTAATTAGTGATGCATACTAATTGCAGGTTAATGTCTTAAAGTAAAAAAAAAACTACCCGAATTTGAACTTCACCGTTTCAAAAAATTCCAATGTCTCTAAATTTATCTGGTATAAAAAATTAATGAAAATATAAAAATTAAAAATTCAAGTACAACTTCAGGTTTTTGAATTAACTTGAAATAAATAATTTTTGGCAACTAAGAGTTTGGTAGTATAATGAGATTTGCAAACCTGGTCGTTGATGGAAGAACTCAGTGACTTGTTTGGAGTCTGATCCTGTGCAGCCGTCCTCATCATGGGTCCAGTGTGGATGTAGCCTCAAGAACACCCAGAATCTGAGCAACCAGTAGAGACAAAACTCTGTCTGTACCACCACCAGGTCCTTGTCTTGCACCAGAACTGCCATCAGGTCTGGCCTACAACACCACAATGGTATAGTACACCATTACTTGGAAATGCATTCTTCTACTGGAATCTAAATTTATAGCCTATATATATTAGAATTTTGGAACAGATGGTATTTTTGGCCTTTGGGATCATGACAACCAAAAAGTAAATCGGTCCCCGGTCCAGTTCTTACCACAAGATCTACGGAAATAGCTTAATCCCTTGATAGGAAATTCGGTAAAAAAATAAATAAGTTGTTGAATCTAGTCTTTGGGAGATGACTATGTAGTAAATTTTGCATGTGTTCCAGGAGTCCATCAACATTAGGTTCGCAACACAATAGGGACAAATTACAGGATGTAAATTTATTACTTTAGAAAATAAAATGCTGAGATAGATGTTTACAACGTATGCTACTATAAAAATGAAACTAAAAAGATTAGTTTCAAAACTAATTTGACCAAATTAAAATATTTTCTCACTCAATCTGTCGCAGGCGTTTGGCGTGGGAAGGGTAGTAGGTCATGAGGTTGGTCAGGAACCACTTGACGGTGGCATGTCTGATGCGCTGCAGCCCGTATTGACTGGCCGCCTCGTAGTAGCTAGTGGCCGTAAGAGGACTGATGGTCTCCACCATGATGCAGAGACATTGGTCTATCAGTCCGTCCAACTGAAACATTGTAGCAGCCGCCAACACCCCCACCACGTCAGCTGGCTCAATAGACACCTCGTCCTGGTACAGTGAGCCAAGCACCACCTTTAGTGCTATGACATGGAAATATGTGTTAAACGGCTTTCTGACAAAGCAAACCCTGATTAACCAAAATAAAGGAGGCAATGCCATTTTGGATAACCTATTTTTACGGTTAGTCAATGCTAGGAATTAAAAGGACTAAGACCGTTCAAAGAGATCTACAACAGTAGTTTTTAATGTTATTTTATTTGATGTCATCTTAAAAATCTACACCTGCATACACTAAATCTATTTCTTGTATGATAATTGAGAGTAATTGTAATTGTTTTCTGAACTTTATCTATGTAATTGTCTGCTCCATTACATTCTGTTGGTCAAGCCAAACCAACTAATTGTGACAAGACATACAGTTCCCATTGCCTAGCTAATTTTGGAATGTATTCAATTTTTTTATTGATGGCTTCAGTTAACCTGGGTGTTTAACAGGGTGTGGTTGAAACAGGGTTGCCACCTTTGATTAGGGACGAATCGGGATGGCCCCCCCTCCCCCTAGTATTAACAAAGACATAGACACAGGCAAAGGGTCCAAAGTCAGGACTGTCCCGACAGAATTGGGACAGGTGGCAACCCTAGGTTAGAATGGGTTTTACTGTAGTTCACACTTTTCAGTAATGAAATGAATAGGAATTACAACATTTTGGTTTTTGGGGAGCCTAGACATAGCAGATAAAATGTATGGTCCATCTTTCCAATTGACATTTATTTAAAATCTATGTTACATTTAAATCAATGAAAATTAGACTTCATGTTGTTAGCCTCCGGATCACTGGTATAGTAATAAATAATGGTTTAAATACCTTATAGGCCTACTGTCAAAGTGATCCTTTGTAGTCCAAATATATAGGCTACTGCAGTTTCGTTCCCGATGATGGGAACTTCATCATGCTGTCAAGGACATCAAATTTCGTTCCAGAGGAAGTCGTTAAGACCTGGAATCGTTAAGACCTTAATCGTTCTAGACCTGCCCTCCGTACGTATCGTGTTTCCCGGTACCGGCGTTTTTGTAATGTTTATTTATTGTTTGTGTTTTCGTTTGTGTGCTAAATGTATGACATCGATGGATTTTCATTTTAACCTTAACGACTTCCCCTGGAACAAAATTTGATGTCCTTGACAGCCTGATGAAGTTCCCATCATCGGGAACGAAACTGCAGTAGCCTATATTTGGACTACAAAGGATCACTTTGACAGTATAAGGTATTTAAACCATTATTTATTGAAAATTAGACATGTCTAATTTAATGTATTAAACTTACAGTCTAGTGTTATGTTGGGATCTGCTATCTCTATCCTGATGTATTTGTTGTCTGTCTCTTTCCAGGAACCAGAAAACATACTTTGAAAGTATGGACTCTGAAAAAATTAAGTTAAACCATTTTAATGAAATAATATGGTTAGTACAAAAATTATTATGCATTTATGCACTGTATTTGTGTTTTATGATAATAATGATTGATTTAATATGAATCCATGAGTTTATTCATATTGTAGAAAGAGTTAACTACTCTTATAAGCTGCTTGGCATCATAACATAATTTCTTTTAAGATAAAACTCTTAACATTTTGAGGTTTTTAATTTGTTGAAAACACTAGTTGCTGATATTAATTTCACTGTTCATTATCATTGGCCACCAGAGCATTTTGACCTAAGCTGTCAGGGCTGAGACGGAGAATTCGATAAGTTAGCCTATGCCTATGCTTAGATATTTTTTCTTTTTAAATACAGTTCTAGTCTAGTAGCTGTTCTTAATAGCAGTTCTGGTCTAGTCTAATACTAGTTTAGGTTTTGACCTGATTTTAATTTTTTTCATTATCCTACCCATGTTGAGGTTTAGTGAAACAGTAAACATTGTCTTGAATAAATATTACCTGGAGCACAAAATGTTTAAACTCAAAAAACTTATCTGTTTTTTTACTGCAAAAGGGAGGGTTCAATTCCCAGTACGCCCACAAATCATATGGGTTTGGACCACTTTACCAAAAACTGTTTGTGTACCTCCTGGACAATGCGACAGGCGTAGACAAAGACAAAAAAAGTATTGACAAAGACTATCAATAAGAACCGAAACAACAAAATATTGTATGGTAGTGGTTTTACCTGAGTCAAATAAACCTTATGAAGTCTCCACTCCTTTCCAAGAGCATCCACAACAACATCACTATTTCTTCCATCAACAAACAATGCCTTGTATATATACTGAGTTGTGCAGGTGAGCTTACGTCTAAAAGAGGAAGTACATTGAGATTAAAATGTTATCAAAATTATAATTCGGGGAGATTTATCACAACAAACGTTTAAAACATGTTTAAACTTCTAATCCAACCATACAGGGTTATAATTTATTGGTTCAGTCAAATATTGCTTTCCTTTTAACTAGCTTTGCCAATTCCTATGAATACGGGATATTCGCTCTCCTCCTTCCATTCAATTTCCTGAGGCTTTTACTCCTTTCCAAATTTTACTACCTAGGCCCTATCACTAGTAGGCTAATTCAAAAAAGCAAAGCTATTGCCTAAAACTAGGACCCAACTTACCTTAAAAATAAAATTTTTGTTTTTTCTGCCCCTGAGCACAGAAAACATACTACTATAACCCAGAATACCAACCGCATGGTAAAAAGCATTAAGCGTTTTGAGAGAGCTTTGCCTGTCAATCCGTAGGCAGCGCCACCAGCGTTGCTATGCTGAGTGCATGGCAACGCTGGTGGCGCTGCCTACGGATTGACAGGCAAAGCTCTCTCAAAACGCTTAATGATTTTTACCATGCGGTTGGTATTCTGGGTTATAGTAGTATGTTTTCTGTGCCCTGAGCTATAAGACTTAATAAATGGTTTTAAGTTACCTTTGTCAGTAGCTCAAATGGTCGTTAAAACTCTACAACCAGGTTTCGATGCTGAGTTGCACCATGATCACGTAAGTCAGCAGGATAAGTTCTTGCTCACATGTCGGTCAAGTTGACGTGGTTAAAAAGTTTTTGTATGTGTTTTTAACGTCCTGTATTGTTTTTATAAACTTTTTAACGACGTCAACTTGACTGACATGTGAGCAAGAAGTTATCCTGCTGATTTACGTGATCATGGTGCAACTCAGCATCAAAACCTGGTTGTAGAGTTTTAACGACCATTTGAGCTACTGACAAAGGTAACATAAAACCATTTATTAAAAATAACTATGAATCTTGATTAACGACTCCATGGGATCATCTAACAATAAAAGTGTTGATTTGATTGATAACCACTTACACTAGGCTAACCAAAATCTAAACGTTCTATACAGATTGTAAGTTAACAATCGATAACTTAATACAACGGCGTCATGATATCGATTTGGCCAAAAAAAATAGCCGTTCTAATCGATTCTATTAGCCATGAGCAACCGGTGGTGCAGCTAGTGGAGACACCAGTGGCGACACCAGTGACTCACAGCTTTTTGGAACCTGAACACTAGAGGCGCTCATAGCTTGCTCAAACCGCAGAATTTATATTATATATAAATAATATTTATATATAAATTTATATTATATACCGGGTGTCCCATGATAGTCCCCTCCCTGGTTAATCTTTTAATTGCTGCATATTTTCAAACGAGCTTCAATATACACGTTACTAGGGTGAAAAGTACTTTTTGGTGGTATTTTGAAATTCACCCCCAATCCCCCAATACCACCCCCCCCCCTAGGACTATACCCCCTCCTGTTCAATATTGCTCTAGAGGAAGCCCTACAAGCAGTAAAAAATTCACCCTTAGGACTAAAACTAGGGACAAATATTAATATAAGGGTTTTGAGTTTTGACAGAGATATTAATTAATGAAACTGAATATGTAGGACTTAAGATAAATGACGTGAAAACACAATTTATGAGAGTAGCAAGGGAGGAAGATGGAAATATTGCTAATTTTCTCAAAATAAACAACCACAAATTTCAAAGAATAATAGGATAAATGCAGCAAATAAAAGTTTGTATGCATGTAGAAAACAAATTAAATCAAAGTTGTTATCAAGGAAAACAAAAATTAGAATCTACAAAACAATAATTAGACCAGTACTTTTATAATATAAAAAGAGGGGAAAATTGGATCCTGAGAAAAAATACGGAAAAGAAGATTATAACCTTTGAGAATAAAGTTCTTAGAGCTTTATATGGTCCAGTATGTGAAGAGTGAGTATGGAGAGTCTGCCAAAACCAAGAGTTAAGAGAATCATTACGAGACCCCGATATTGTAGGAGAGGCCAAAAGCAGTTTAAGGGTTAGGTGGGTTGGCCATATCTTGAGGAGAAATGAGGAGAGCTTGTTGAAGAAGGTACTAAGGGGAGATCTGAGGGGAAGAGACACCAGTAGGAAGACTAAAATCTAGGTGGTGAGATCAAGTCCAGAGGGATATGGAAAAGACTAGACTAGTAGAGGATGATTCGGAGGACCGAGAGAACTGGCAACAATATGTTGGCGAGGCCAAGTACCAGCTTGGGAACAAGTGGCCATGGCAGTAGGTAATAAGACAGTAACCCCAAATAGGGGTTGCAGGGGGTAACTTAAAATTTTTGAATAGCAACACCTATCAAGTAGCACATCATTTAAAAGAGCTTTAAATAAATGCGGCAAATCTGACTTTCATAAGACAAATTAAAAAAAAAGTTACTTATGTCAAGAAATGTTTGACGTTAATTTAACTGGAGCTTTACATTCCATCACTTTAATTTTTTTCGTGGTTGTAAATTATAAATAACCTTCAGTACACGTGACCAGGGTGATGACACACACTGATTAACATGATTTTGAATTTCACCATCCACCCCCTAATAAGGGTTGCTAGTGGGGTTTTTATTTTTTTTACACTAATTTGGGGGTGGGGGTGAAATAGAAAATCATGTTAAAGCACGTGTGAAATTAAAAAATACCACCATAAAGTACTTTTCATAACCCTAGTAACGTGTATGGAAGCTCGTTTAAAAATATACAGCCGTTCAAAAATTAATTTTTGTTTATTAAACTAAACAAAAAACTAAATACGGCAATAACTAAAAATACCCCCGCCGCAGCAAACCTGCAGACTAAGTGAATTTCAACTTGTCTGATTACATTAAATGTAGGCCTAACTCAAGTTATCGCGTTCACAGACGTGTATATATATATATATATGAGTGAAAATTTAAAAACGTACGTTTTCATGTCCCTGGACTTTTACTTCGTAGATACTGGATTTGTAGTTTATTATTATGTGTTTTAATATTTTTTGGGGCAGGGGCAACATGTTACACACATTTATTTGGTTTTAAATAGGTTCTAGGTATTTTTTTCGTATTTTTAAAGTCTCGAAATTCACGACCATGACGTGTCCCTAAGATACATTTTCCAACTTTCACGCTGTTTTTAGACTAATTATTCATTTCGAAATATATAAAGCCATATTTTTATGTCATCAATAATTATTAAACTTACAAAAAAGGAGCATATTATAATTTTATTGTCATTACAAACTGACTACCATGACAAAATAAGTCTGTCCCTCGATTTGGCGTCACGACCATTTGGGAAAAATTTACAACTTTGGAGCACGACAGTGGCAAGCCTGGTGTCGATGGAGTCAGTTGGTTTTAGAGACTAGTTCGGGGTGTACGTCAGGATTGTAGTGCCGGTCGTTTCGAGTTGAAAGGAGGAATTACAAGATTAATAAAGGAAAGATTGTGTTTTTTGTAATTTTTGTGTGTCCATGACCGTACGTAGTCATTGGATGAAGTAGACATGGTGTTAATTTTTTTTAAAAGATATTTCAATTGCTAGATTAACCTAGAAGTCCAGTTTGTATCCTCGAACATGAGGTGCAGGGCTAAACCAAACACACTGGTCGTGACAATAACTTTAATATAATTGTAAATTGAACAGTTTAGTTCAATTGAAACACATATTTTTATTATAACTAACAGGATAATTGAAGGATTGTTTAGAAAGATTTAGATTATTCCAGACAATTCACGACCATACCGCTTGTCCCTGACCATCACGTTTATGATTTCTATCATAAAAATTTCAAAAATTAAAATATCGTCGTATTTCAATGTTTTATACACAAAAGAAGCACACCTCTATACAAACATAACGATTTTTCGGGTCTCAGGTAAGTTTTTTCGGAGTTATACAAACTTTAAAAGATTTTATTGGCTTTTTTTCAATTTTTTGAGTTTTTTTATTTTTTTCTAGAAAGACCAAATATACCGGTACCAAAAGATCAGTGACCTTTTTATTGTATAATGGTCATAAAAGTAAATTAATTTATAGCAAAACATAGTTATAAAAATAATATTAACTATTTTTAATATTCATTTAAACGTCCGTTATGGTCGTGACATGATTTTGTGTTTTTCCACTAAAGATGCTCTTTTAAAAAGAAACTAGGCCTACCAAAGATATTGCGTTACCATGGACATTTTATGAAACTTCAAATATTAATGAAATAAAAAAAATAATAAAAGTTTTGAAAAAAGGGGAAAAAAATTTGCAAAGTGCTTTTCCTGAAAATGTACATTTTTAAATTTTCACTCATATATATTTATATATATATATATATATATAGGAAATCTATTTTTTGATAGTTTTGTTCACTTTTTAGGGCTACTTTTTCAAGAAATAAGTAAAATAATAAAAACCAGAGTACCCTGAAATTCATTTTTATTAAACTTATAGATATTACTAGCAGAGTACCTGTCCTTCGTACGGGGTTGGAATATAAGTATAAAATGCTTATTGCAGTTACACTCAAACTTTGCGTTTGCAATAAGGAAATACACAGTTTGATAAAATTTGCTTTTTTTATATTTACAGTATTCTATAGTATTACACATCTACCATAGCCATAATGTTCTACCACTTCACCTAAACAATAGAGAAAAATAAATTATCAACAATTCGCAAAATATCACAAATTATTCATGAAATGAAAAACATAAACATAACTGTAAACAATCCTACTTTGACAGTTCTCATTGCGAATCACAGTTTTTTGGTTGCTGCTTAGTTCAAACTAGCAGAGTACCCGTCCTTCGTACGGGGTTGGAATAGTATAAAATGCTTATTGCAGTTACTCAAGCTTTGCGTTTGCAATAAAGGAAGACAGAGTTTGATAAAATTTGCTTTTTAAAATTTACAGTATTCTATAGTATTACACATCTACCATAGCCATATTGTTCTACCACTTCACCTAAACAATAGAGAAAAATATCACAAAT